CTGTTTTTCACCTCCGCTGCTCATTTTCCTTTCTTTTCATTCGCTGATTCACTTCGATGAAGCGGGCGGGTCTTCTGTAAGTACATAGCGTCGGTTAAAAGCACGACAACAACGACAACGACGACTCCTCCGACTCTGTTGTTTATACTTGGCAGAGTATGCATGTTTATACATGTGCATGCATGTATGTATGTATGAATGTTGGTGTGACTCCGCTTTAGCCAATTATGTGCATCTTGGGTGCGCGCACCTTGCTCACTGCTGGCTACTTAACTCAGCGCGTCTCTGCATTCGTTTTGACGCCCTCACTCCTCGTGCTCATATCACTCAGCCGCATCTAGCATGGAGTTTAGCGCCCGGGCTTGTTACACAGCGGAACACAAAAATAATTGACTTTTCAGACTCCATCGTATGAGGGAGCGAGAGCAAGTACAATAGTAAATAAATTGTTGTTGTGAGTATGCGAGAAGGAGTGGGAGGTAACTATCGCTTGCTTAACTAAGAGATAGAGTTTAATTTATGGCTCGCTTAACACTTAACATCAGCTAATTGAATGCACGATGAGCCTTTTCTCAGTCAGATATAGTAGCTTGAAGTATCTGCTATTCGCTGGGGTTTATATGTACATACATACATATGTACTATATAACGTACAAAAATTGGTTGATGGCGATTAAAGAAGAAGATTAAAAGCGTGCCAGCTTTTCCTTGAGCTTATTTTAGCACCGCCAAGTGCCACTCCCTCAAATGACACAACTCTCCTTATGATCGAGCACCACTCCAATGCTATCCAGTTGCGCCAGCTTGGTTGGAGACTCGCAACCATCACGCGACATTCAATAATCACAAACACAATTGGAGAAAGATGTACGATAGGGATTGCAAATTGTAGTGCCCACGGGCGGATTTACGGGTAGCCATTTACCCACTGGTTTTTGCAGCAATTATTACTAAATGATGCAGGTCAGCGGTGAAATTGATATTTATGGACTATTCGCTCATACTTTCCATAAGCTTTATATGTACTTGGGACTATCAAAGTAGTGTTTAAGTTTGTAACACCCAGAAGGAAGCGTCGGACCCTATAAAATATATATATAAACACATACGAGTATATGATAAGCATGACGAGCTGAGTCGATTTAGCCATGTTCGTCTGTCCGTCTGTATATACGCGAACTAGTCCCTCAGTTTTTGAGATATCGATCTGAAATTTTGCACATATTTTTCTCTCGCCAAAAAGCTGCTCATTTGGAGGAGCGGCCAATAACGGACCCTTATAGCCTATAGCTGTCATATAAACTAAATTATCAAAATCAAGTTCTTGTATGGAAAACTTTTTTTTTTGCCTAGATATTTTTACGACAAGACAATGATACAATATCCTAAAAAAAATGGTTCAAATCAGACCACTATAGCATATAGTTGCCATACAAACCGACCGATCAAAATCAAAAAAAGTTTATACCGTTATTTCGATATATAATATTGGTTACTGGGCCAATATTCGGAATCACCATTTTAAGAAGCGACTGTTTAAAGCTTAGATTTTTAAATGAAAATTTTTTTAAGAGGAGCGCTGAGCTAACTGACCCAAATGCTGCGACACCAAGAATTAGGCCGAGAATTTTTTTCGGCTATGCCACCAATTGATTAACGTTGTGAGGATCCTGAAATGTACTTTAAGAAAAAAGTTTCCGTTTGTGGAACCGACCAAGGCCAAGAAATATAAGAATGCTAGATGGTTGTTATCTCAATTAAATAAGAAATACTATTAAAGTATTTCGAATTAGAAATTGGAGCCCTGGTTGTCGATTAATAGCTATTGCATCGAAGTAAGACTACTACTTAATTGAGTGAACTCAAGCTGAGTAAAAACAAAATCTCAAGAAAAAGTTCTGCGCCTAAAGGAGAAACTGCACATTTCTTATAACAAGTAACACGAAAAAGTTGTCAACTCCAACGACCTTAATTAAACACAGAAAGCCCTACAACCTAAAAGTGTCACCTTTTTCCCTATACCCCAACGACGAAGATTGATATAAATTCGCTCATGGCATTGTGCAGCGCCTGCCGCAGATGCAAATACTCGTAATATTTATGTACATCACGGTCCAACTTAACTAACGACCACTTTACCGGCCCGAATTCCCGCCGCCAAGTGCTCCTCCAATGAGTGCGCGTGTCCGCATCCGTTTCGAATGGCGGAAAAAATAAACAGTCACTGCTTTCATTTGCATCGCGCGACACATTCGTTGCACATTTGCAGGCAGCGCTGGCGAGATAGCCAGCTGCCGCTGTATGCACCAAGCACCACATTTCGCCGCTTTCCATGCTGGCATAAGAAGCGCTTCTGTTGTTTTTAAACTCTTGAAGTGAAGGTTATTTGCTCGCGCCCGTTCGCCTGTGTTTGTTTATATGTGTGCGCTCGCAAATGACATGCAAGCCATGTTCAACTGTTCAACTGTCACTGTCCAGTCATTTGTGATTTGATCGATTTCGTGCAACGGCGCTTTGGACGCTTTTCACTGTGCGCATAGGCGAGGAAAAAACAAATGCTGTTTGCATACATACAAACATAAGTACTCGTTTGTTAGGCTGTGTGTGTGGCACTTTGCTCTACTTGGTCACACTTGCATGTGCCGCCATGTCACAAAACTAAATTGAATTGGTGTGGCATAGTCCGTGATCCGCTTTCATACAGAGTCCGCACGAGCAGACCTTCCTAACGGCATATTTTAATTTGAGCACCTTGATTCGCAAGGACTGACTGGCATTAAGATGCATGCGCATTCCACTCCAATTTCGAATGTCAAGATGCCCACCGTAAAGTGAAGCACGCCGAAATAGACCAGTAGCAAGTTGGAGCCCATAAAGCTGATTGCTGGCTGCACTTCAGCTACTGGCGCGGTCGCCACTCGTCGGAATCGAGAGCGGCCAGCCTGTCGCCTTGTCTATCAACCGCCTCTTTAGGTGCACGATCCGCTACTTGGCTTAGCTGTCAAGCAGTTACTTGCCGCTAACAAAGAGACCACAATGTGAATTGTGCACCGCTAGGAATCACGGACGCTTGTTACACAAAGAATCGGAAGCAGTTCGTAGTGCTCTGATACTAACGAACTTACAATGATATTGCGAGCCAAGATCTTGCGCTCGCACATTAATTATATAACTATACAATCAGAAGTCCACCAGCAGACTGTAGAGCCCAGTTACGAACTGTTTGTCGCGAGCTCGAGCTAATCAAGTCAAGACATATTCTTGAGTTGTTTGCTTTTGATACGTGCAAAAGTCAACAGAGAGCGAGAGTATATTTATAAACCAAAGCAACAACAAACAAAGTCGAACTGGTAATCCTCTCGTGATTCAACATCACTTTTTCTGCCTAAACATTTGCGCGCGTCATCCATAGCTTGCGGACGACGTAGTGTACGTCAACAAATGATGCCGTTATAAGCGCTACAAGCGAAAGAGCGCAAAGAGCGCTTGAAGACTGGTTGCTTGTGGAACGTATTCCACGCCAGATCTAGTGACCGGCTCTGACTCAATCGAGCGCAACGTACATATTTGGGCGGAAGATACTCCACCCAAATCCAGTTGCAGCTTAAGCCGCGCAGCCGGCTTCTACGCCGTCTTAGCGCAAACTCGTCCACTTTCTGTCGACTGCGAGTTTCATTCAGAAAATACCGCTGCCGCTGTTCGACAGCTGCGCCTACATCTTCACTTTATGTTTGCTTTTGTAAGCCATACTTGGCGCTCGCTGTGTTTTGTTACAGTTGTTCGGCTGTTCGTTTGCTTCCTCTATGCACTCGTTGTTGTTGCTGTTGTAGAAATTGAGCGACTCAGTTATCGCTGCCACTGGCGATCTCGTTCGGGCATTTTTGTGGCTTTGTTTTTTCTACTCCACTAATGTAATGCCAGTTGTAGCTTCCCTTGTTGTTGTGATTCTGCTGTTGCAGCGCCAATTTTGTTGTGATGTTGTCGATCTTATTCGTTTTCGTCGATTCTAATGTTTGCTTGTTGTTGTTCAAAACATTGTTGTCTTGGCTGCATTACCTTGTCTTGCCCAATTCCACTTGAGGGTAAATTGAAGCGTTGAGATCACTTCGATTTCAGTTCACCGCCGACGAACAGCGCAGTATGGTCGTGACGCGCGCCAACTCTGCTTTAAAAACCATACTGCTAATTTCCCACTTACAGCCGAACCGTTATTTCTGCGCCAATAATCGTAGTGAATGCAACAGTGTGTTCGTCCGTAGCGTCGTAGCTGCTACCACTGCTATTGCGCTGACTGCGCGCCGCTGTCACTGCGAGGGTGTGCGTAGGCAACTAGTGTAAGTGATCGCATGCGTAATTGAACAGAGGGTGGCAGTGTTCAGCAAAGAAGAAGTAACGGCAACTCAAGCTGACGTCTCTCAGTCGGCTTTTGTGCTGAGTAATACACGGCGCTCATTGTCGCTAACTGAACTATACCATAGCACAGCGGTATACGTTGTTCGCGTCAGTGGCCGACTGAATTAGAGTAAAGTTTAGTTTGGCGAACGTCCACTCGGTAGTCGTGTACGCGGCGTTGTTACCGACGGCAACTTAAGCAGCGACAGCGACAGCGCTTGCGCGATTGGCAATTGTTACATTTCTTCAATGTGTGGACGATTTCGTTGTTATTTCTTGCTTCTCATATTGCTTCTTCTTTAGTGTCGTTGGCCAAAACAAACGAGTATGTATATGTATGTGTGTGTATGCGTGTTGGGTTTGTAAATGCGCGCGCGTGTTTCTAAGTTTTTGTGTTTTTTTTTGTTATTGTTGTTGACTAGTTTTATGAATGCAGAGCAAGTTCGTCGTGCACCGCGCGCTCACCTGGCTCAACACATCTGTGCAGCAGCATCGCGGCAGCAGCAAATGAAGCGTCGCCGCCGTCGTCGTCTTAGTAGTTATAGCGTTTTGCGATGAGTTGGAGGAAATGTACGTCGGGTATGGATTGTGCGCGCGCGTCATCCAGTCAGCAAGACGATCTCTTACTTTACGGTTGTGTTTTGTCGCAATGTCCGGTGTTGCGCAGGACCAAAATTAGACGAATTCAGTGTTTGTACGATGTGTTGACTGAGTAGTGAGTGGTACGCGATCTCAACGACGAAGAGTAACGAAAGCATGGGCGTCATCAACAGCACGTATGAGTAAATTGACTAACTAGCAAGCAGCTAACGGCTCGGATGGTAATATCGTCCACAATTCTAACGCGCAGTCTGTGGCCTTTGGTCCACAGTCCTATGTTCGCGTAAGGCGTGCGCGGATGCGTTACACTTTTGGGCGCAGTCACACGGCTAAACGGCTGTCATATTTTTGTTTATAAATTCAGTGTTTAGCTGCATGTGTGCTTCGTCTGTATATGTGCGTATTTACATAGAGATATTAGTTAAATATGACAATCAAATATGTGACCTAAATTATGCTACAGCTTGAAAAAAATAACAGTTGTAGCCAAATGTATGGCATTCAAACAAGCGACAGTTATGAAATAATAAAACTGAAGACAATTCAATTCAAAAAAATTAGCGCTACTTAAATAGCAGTCAAATGCTATAACAAAAACGGTAGCTGCATAAAAATTAATGTTTCGTTTAAATGGAATTATTGCGGAATTTTATCGCTGCAATGGCACTTAATTGTCCAGAAGTGATAAGCGCTGGCAACTTGTCGTGCAATATCATTACAGAAAATCTATCCATAAATTTTAAATGGTGTATAAATAAAACTTAATGCTCAGATAATTACCGACATTGTGTAATTTCAGCAGAAATTTGCATTTGACGGCAACGATATACATATATACGTACATACTTATATATAAATATATGTATATATAAATCGTCTCATTTATTTTAATTGGATGTGCTTAATTGAGTTCAAATTTAATTCAAATCAAGATACTGAAAAAAATTAAATTAAAAAATTAATGAAATACGACAACTTAAAATAAATTGAAACATATAAATATAGAATAGTAGCCGTAAACAATAAAATTGATAGGAAATTTAAGTGTCCAATTAGAAAAACAATATTGAAATATTAATAAAAAACTATTATTGCGTCAGCGTAAAACAAATGTTAAATTAAACAAACAAAATTAACTAAAAAAATATTTTTCAATAAATTTCTTATTTATCTGTATTAAACATGGAAACTATGAATAATAAAAATCGCGAAAAAATTAAATCTTTGTAAATGATAACGCATAAACAATTATAACACTAAAGAAATAAATTACATTTCATTATTAATTAAATATAAATTTAAAATCAAAGAGAAACAAAAAATAGATGTAACACATACAAATAATAAATAAACACAAATAAAAAAGAAAATTAAAAAAAAAATTTATTAAATTAAAGTAAAATAAGTTAAATTAAATTAAAATTAAAGTAATTATTAAACAAATGAAAGAAAGCAAAATAATACTAAGAAAACTAGTAAACAAATTCTAAAAAAAGGAAACCCCAAATTCAACAAAATATGAATATAATAAATTTAAGTTTATTAAATGTAATAATTAAATTAAAATTTACATACTTAATTTAATTAATTAAATTTTATTATTAAAATTTATTTTTTTTAATTAAATTTTAATTAAATTATATAATTAATTTTATTCAATTAAATTAAATTAAAATTATAGGATATTAATATTAATTTAATTGCAATAAAATAAAATTTATATTAGGTTAATTATTAAATTACCTAAATATAAATTCAAATGAAATTATAATAGCAACGCAATTAAAGAAACTCGTAAAATTAACCAAAATATACATATACATACAGCAGAATTTGAGTACAAATTACTAAAAAAAGACAATAAAAAAAACAAGAGAATTAACATATATGTATGTAATTCAAAAACATAAAAATATGAAGAGTGTAAATTGTCTACTTAATATTTATACCTCTTTAGAGCAGTAAAAAAGCTTTACTTTTTAGTAATTTTATTTAAAAAAAAAAAAATTTTAAAACAGACGCAGTAATGCTACTAAACACAAAATTTTCAAGCATCTGTTTTTATTGAAAATATTTTATTTTTATTAAAAATACATTGTGTTTGTTTCGGTTCGATTTAATATTACCAACCCGACGCGAAGCCAATCAAATTTTCACGATCTAATTCATGCTAATTAATTAATACACATTACAGTTCGAATTGACATTTTCAAAAACTTAAGAACTCTGTCGAACACAAATTGTTTGAGACTTGTAAACGCAAATCACGCCCCTCAATAAACTCCACCCACAATTCATTTAATGTCGTTCATAATGTTTTTGAATTGAAAATCTGTGCCTCTGTGTGTCATACTAACGCACTGCTCACCGTGTCCATAGCCACCTTAGCTGCCGGAAGTGACAACCGTTAGCCAACAACAAGTAGAATTGTCACAAGTAGCGGCGACAACATGCAAAATGCCACCAGCGATACTTGGACTTTAAAACCACAACAACAACAACGTGTAAAATTGTCAATTAGAGTGTAACAAAACAACAGCTGCAACAAAAACAAAAAGTGCAACAGTAAAAAGACGCAAGCACAAGCAACGTAAACAACAAAAGTGTTGCAACAACTAAACAACAACAGCAACAATAATAAGCAAATCGGTAATAGATATTAACTGTAACGCGCAGCAACTTGCCGCAACACAGTTAACAACATCCGTCGGTGCGATACACCGCAACGACTTGAGGAGGAAGTGCACCGGCGCGCGTCTGCTCGCTCACACGCTCCACAACGCCAGCGAGAGCGCAATAAAGGATGCCAACAAGTAGTTACAACAACAACATGCAACAGAGATTTGAAAGCGACAGTCACTTAAAATAACAGTTGTGCACAAGCTGCCCACAAGACGAAGAAGAAGAAGCAGTGAAATAAATTAGAAAAAACGGTGCCGATCATTTGAATTGTGATTTGTGATTTCTTCCTGCCTGACCAACTGGTTGTCGGCCTCACAAGCTGCCGCACGCCACCCAACTACCTGCTCTCCGCTACAGACTGACCGCGTCTGGCTGGCGTTTATCTACCTAGCGGCCGGGCAGCGGATATCCGTTCCGTTTGCAATTATATCGGGTGTCCGTTGTGCAATTAATTGCGAACAGTCTCGATTCAGTTGCGGGAAACTTATGCGACGTGGCGTCCCTACGTCCAAGCCATCAAGCAAACAAACACTCTTACATACACACACGCTCGTACGCTTCGCGCAGTCGCGTAATTTCGTTGCGCATTTGCAATTTATCCGGAAAACCTATTCACAGCAGCCAGACAGTGCAACGCGGTGCATTTTCGATAAGTGCTGACCAGCAACGGCGGCCGTGGTGTCAACGTCTGCGTCGACAACGACAACGACGCCGGCGTCAGCTGCAAAGTTGAGATTGGTTGGTGTAGCCAATTGCTAGTGCTACTCAACTTCATAACTATAGAAAACCAAAAACAAAAGCAATATAATCGCAAGCTAACAACCAGTAGCAACAACAACAACTATAAAACGTAAATGGTAAGTGTTGAACAGGCATCTAAGCATTTCCTCCTACAATAAAAATTTCCTCAGCTAAACGCGTTCATATTTACATATATGTGTAACGCCAAGCCGGGCTTAAACCGCGCTAATAGTCAACGTAGGTGCTAAAAATTTCCAGTGGTATGCTAATACTCCTCAAACTGGAAAATATTTTTCTTAGAAATTTGTAACCCGGCCATTGAGATATAGATGAAAACTTCCTTAAAATCGACTAGCGCACCTCGACTGGCCAAACCTTAAAGGGTGCCGAATCGAACAAGCCACTGACATATGTATCTATATAATAATGCTGTAATACTATCATAATAGAGATACTTATATATATTTGTATTAAATTGAAAGTGATAACTTTGTCGTTGCTTCCAAAAAAAGCAAAAAGCGAATCGATCGAGAACTCATAATGTTCTAATAATGTAATCTGGATTTTGATCGGTAAGTTTGAATGACAGCAATATGCTAAAGTGATCCGATCTTTACAATATATTCGGATTATAGCGATGCCTTTGGTAAAGATCCATGTCGAATTTCGTTAGGATACCTTGTCAAACAAAAAAGTTTTCAATACAAAGACTTGACCATATGCTATGGTTGTCCGATATCAGCAGTTCCGACAAATGAGCAGCTGCTTGGCGATAAAACGACGGGTGAAAAATTTCAAAATATTATCTCAAAAACAGAGTCACTAGTTCGCGTATAAGTATACTGAACGATGGACATACGGATATGGCTAAATCTAATCAGTTCATTCCGCTGATCATTCATATACTATATATACTTTATAGGATCTCCAATGTTTCCTTTTGGGTGTTACAAACATCGTGGCAAACTTAATATACTCTCTTTAGGGTTTAATTATGGGAATTGCTTCATGATTTTATCACCACTAGTAGTCGTGCAGTCGTTCAACGAATACATCTAAAACCAATGGAAGGTTTTTTTCAGTAACATTCTCATTAATTTTGAATTTCCAGCCTTAACTTATTCCTCTTAATATTAATATCTTTTTACCGGTGTTGATAACTATGCAGCTGTGTTCAACCAAAGAGAGGCCACAAAACGATTATTGAAAGATAAGCAAACGGAGAAAGGCATTTAAATTTTTGGTTACTTTAGGGCCCAAACAGCTAATTGAATAATTATAGTAATAATATATACACAAACTTGTAAACCTCTCAGAGAAAGAGGTTCAAAGGAGTTATAGATAATAAAACTGACAATATTGAAACAAAGTATTGTTTTACTATATAAGACTAGAACTATTACCAGGAATTGTAATAATTTGACATTGAACGCCTATGATCGTCGTGTTATGGAAAGCAATTACTGTTTAAGACCATTTTCTCCCAAATTTTTAATTAACCTCTCACACTTAGGAACTTATATTTGGTACGTCGTTCCAGGTATGCATAGATAAGCAAATTCGAACAGAATCTCTCTCTATCTCTCTCTGTAGTACTCAGTTAAAAATAATAGTACAACAGTTGCAACGTGTCAAGGGCCTTAATGACATTTAATTTACCAACAGCTATTTATTTTGACATTTTAACCGTGTTGTAACCTAAACTCTAAAAAACTATTAAATATCGCTGCGATCTTGAGTTATTAAGATTCAGTAGTCCTTGCACCGCAAAAATAATACATATCATAAGTAGCCTATAATAAATGATTTAATAATAAACCTCTATTTGAGGAAAAATCATTTACAAATAACCAAATTATAATTTATAGGCATTCTTAGACTTTTGTCATCGATCACTGATCTCCATATTAATTAGTAATCTCACAAATATCCATAATTTTATTATGCTCGCACACATTCCAGCCAGCCCACCCGATTTTCGCCGAACACTTGCATAAACGTATAGGTGCATAAGTGCATAAGTGCTTGGGCAAGTGTCTTCATAACTGTGTGCCCATCAAATCATGTAAGCTCGTAAAATACTTTACGACTTTTTTGGTGTCGATCTTACGAGTCCGTGTGACACTTTGCGAAGATAAGCGTTCTAGCTATTAGCCGAGCCGTGGGCATGTCCGTCGCAATCACCATTAAAATCGTTACTGCAAAATATTCAGTAATAATCGTCGCATTAAAATCGTTACTCATTTATACAATACATTACATTACATTGCATTACATGGACTCAACGTGGACGATCTATTCGCCACATACTTGTACATGTACATAACATATGAGCGGGTCTATCCGATGAGCGAATTGTCTGAGTGTATCGATGAACATTATTTTAATGCGCACTAATAAAGTTATTTTTTATGGAAATTCATATTAGAGTTCGTAGACAATCGTAAAAGAGGTGCAATTATTTAGGCATAGAATGTGACAAACTTCACAGTTTACCTCAATTTTAATGTATATGTACTCGTAACTGGTGCACTTGAATATGACATTGTAGACATAGTAACCGTTATGCACAGCAATCGACGCAAGAAATAGCACACGTGATATCATACGTATTACATATAATGCTGGATACAATCACCCACGCAAAACCGTAGACCGATTCAGCTGATACGACCTATCTAATGAGAGCGCAATGTAAATGAACACTCACCACCGCTTCTACCGTCTGCTTCTACAGACCGTACGGTAATTTTATTTAACACGGGCAGTAAGTACGGAAGGGCGGAACGTCGGTGACTGTTTCCAGCATTATGGACAAAAACCTCGCCTGCTTTCCTTATAACACATTATATTTCACTTTCCAGTAAACAAATCCAGCTACAGTAAATATAATGGGATACAATTTTGAACATATAGAGACTTTAAGGTTTGCTTTCTCATTACTAAATATTGTCAAAATCGGACTATAACTATTTAAGCCCCCAAAGAGCGAATATTTGGACCCCAGTGCGTATAGCTAACTTTTAATCGAAAATTTTAGTTTAATCTGTGAAATATATTATTGTAACTTGGAGAGATTATCTTCCTAATAACAGTAGGGTAGAATCGGGCCAATACTTCCCTTAGCCCTCTTATACCTAATATACAGATTTCCGAACTTCCAGTTGATTTTATACCACATTTATCAGTCCAAATATAAGTTATGCTAATGTAATTCAGGGAGAATCTCTTTTGAACAGCGTATCTTTTGATCCTAAAATAGATGAAATCGGCAGAAAATGTGTCCTTGTAACTAAAAAAATAATTGGTCAATATGTCGAAGTATCTTAATGAAACTCAGAGAACATTTTTATCTGGTAATGATATATCCTAATGCTAAAAATTGATGAAATCGGGTGAATACTACCCCTAGCTCCCATATACCTAATATTGGAACTTTAAACTTTCGGTTGTCTTTATACGTAAGACTGAACTATAGTATAAGTTTAATGCCGAAAAGGTGTGAAATCTGTTTACGAATCACCCTAGATCCCATATACTACCAATAATGATTTTCGTTATCTTAACAAACCTTATGTCGAATATGTCGGTCAGTGTGCGAATTATCTTCACAATTCTTGAGTTTACTGCAGTGATGGTAAATGTTAACGTAATCAGTACAGATCGTCCCCTATCCCCAATATACGCGGTAAAGTGATTCCATTTTATTTCTGCGATATTTGAATAAATTTAAGTAGTCAATTTTCATTAGAAACAATGTCTTTTAACACAGAATGTGAATGGAATTGGTCTAGACCTTGGTCCAAATCAGTGGCGCATTCACAATTTCATTCTGAGGGCCTTCCAACATATTTTGTATTGTATATTGATGCTACTTCGTAAATTCATATGAATTTAAATTAAAATCTCCGATTTTGGGGGGGGGGGTTTTGACTCCCAAATTGTGTTAATTCAAATTTCAAATAAACCGTAAATATCACCCAAAAATATGTACTTTGAGAAATCACATAAATTACAAATCATTATACCAAATATTTCACGATTAGTCGTCTTAAACTATTCTGCTTACCTCATATTTTCAATTTCAAATATATGTATTTCTTGCAGTTTGATACTCTACTCCTAATGCACGGTTGTCACAGTGTTAATGGTGTAGCAGAGCACCCAACTATTACAAATTCGACATGTGGGGTGGGTCCTCTAAAATAAGTATAATCTAAATGTCAATTTCAATTGTTGTGATCTGATTGACAAGCAATTTATTTTTTTGCGGGATCGTCAATTTGGTTGGTTATTTTTATGTTTCGACTACAACCGTCACTGAATTCGACATGATAATTCCCGTAGGATCGTATCCGTCTTTTCCAATTTTACAGTCCAACGGTTTTTCGGAAAATAAAAAATAGGTGAGCACTGTAACGGTTGTCCATACAAATTAAATTTATAAAGATTTTATATATAATAATAAGAGAACTCAAAGAACCCGACATTGGCGTTCAAGAGCAATTTTTTTTAATATAATATAAATTCCCGAAGATGCGAAAAGTTATATTTATGTACGTCGAAAATATAGAAAAGAGTGCCCCGTAAACCTAAAAATATTTAGAGAAAAAAAATTTAATATAACATTATTGTGTTGACAATTCGGTTCGGTAACGGTGTTTACTTGAACGCAACTAAATATTTGCCAATTTATGCCCACTGTACGACGCATGTTAACCGCACGACTAAAATTTTTTTGAATTTGTTGAAAAACAAAGTAAATAAATAATGGAAATATAAAAAATTGTTCCTCATTATGAATGCACAAAAAAGGAGAAGGTTAAACTGCACAATATGTGCCGTAGCTCTACATCTACTATATACGCGTATCGGTGTTTATGTATGCATGTGTGTATGTAAATATTTTAATTCGATTACTTTTCTCTTATTTTCTATTTCTCTATTATTTGAATTTGTGCAATTTTAATAACACATTTTCCTTGCATTATTATACGAAAATTGCCCCAAATATATTTGCATTGTCATTTTTTAAGAGGACGCTAAGCGCGTGTTGGACGTCGGCAAATGCGCGCGAGGCCACTCGAACACATGTACCAACCAACATACATACGTG